TTTTGCTGATGGTTCTAGATATGATGGTATATACTTATTATTCTATTTTTTAGGAGAATTCTTATAAAATGATTTGCATGGAGAAGGAACTTATATTTGGCCAGATAATAGAGTTTATAAAGGATAATTTTAAAAAAATAAAATGCATGGCAAAGGATATATTATATGGCAAGATGGTCGTAGATATACTGGTGTAATGATCCTCATAGATAATAGGAACATGAAAAAGATAAAAAACATGGTAAAGGCGTGTTTGAATGGCCTGATGGTAGAAAGTTAATAGGAATCTGGATATAAGGTTGTATTATTATCTTATTTCTTAGGAAGATAAAATGGAATTGGAATCTATTATTTATAAAATAAAGAAGTGAAAATTGGTGAATGGAATGATGGAAAAGGAATTAGATGGCTTCATAAAAATGAAGTTGATTAGTTAATTGAAGAATAAAAAATTAAAAGATAATATTGGCTTTAATTAAATTGATACATCTTAATAATTTTACAAAAATGTGATTGTTCATTTCACCCTTTAATTTTTTTCATTATTTATAATTTTTTAATTATCAAATTCGAAATAGAGATTTAGCAATTAATACTGAAACATTCAATAAATGTTTTAATTAATTAGGTCCTATAAAATGTACCAGTGAAGGTTCAAAATGCATCTCTCTCACCCTTGGATATTTGGAATCGTAAGTGATGATGCTGAGTATATAAAAACGTGGGATTATGCTACAGAAAATATATAAGTTAGAAAATTTTAGGGAATGGAATGAAAATAATATTAATTTAGTTATGAATTAATATATAAGTCATTTTCCAAAATCAAACTTAAAAATATAATTTGACAAATACAAAATTTAACTCTTTTTTTATATTATTCAGTTTAGATACTTAAAAAATTGCTTTAAGACAAATTTGAGTTCTAATTTAGGGTTGTTTTTTAAATTTTGATTTTAATCCATCCACATATTAATAATTCAATGCTGTAATTTTTGATTCAATTTGTTTTTTTAAACTTTCGCTTTATGAAATGATTATATCTAATTAAGCTTATTTACATTATAAATAATTGATTAATTATAAATTTCTTATGGTTTTTGTTATCACAAATCCTATCTATAAACTAAATTATGTATTTTATAAAAAATTTAACTATAATTAACAACCATCATAAGGTTGCAAATTACCATCATCACAATCCTCTTCTTTTGTGACAATTTAATCATCACATACAGAGAGACAACTATTATTAACAAACTCATATCCATTTTCACATTTTAAAATGCATTATCCTCGCTCACATATTTTGCAATCTTCACTGCATTGAAACTAGCATTAAAAGCAACCATCATATGGTTGTTAATTATCATCATCACAGTCTTCATATTATTATAGGATGAATTTATCTCCACAGTTAGGGAAACATATGTTGTCAATCATAACAAATCCTACTTCACACTCTAAGCAAATTGAAAATTTGTTAGTTTTACAATGTTCAATTGATATAAATCTGCAATCTTGACAACCATACTAAACCTCATTAACTGTCAATTCACATTATTCAGCTGAATAAGGGATTAAATTACCATCCCCGTATAAAGGATCACAATTAAAATTGCCATTAATAACAAATCCATCTTCACATTTTTAACAGATTCCAAATTAACAAACTAAACAAAAGTTTATGCAAGAATATTTGCATAAATAGCATGATTCTTAAGATATTCGATCGCCGTCATCACATTCTTCTTAGCCTTGAGTGATTCCATCACCACATATTGGATGACAATTTTGTAGAAATTTATCTTAAACCCAACCTTCTTAGCATAGTAGACATTTATCATCAATATACTCTAAACAACCTTCATTTAAATTGTTAATCCTCATTTCTAACTAAGTTTAAATTCCATCTTAATATTATTAACAAATTCCAATTAGCAAATTTAATAAAAGTCTTTGCATAAATATTTACATTAGTAACAAGAATCACTTGATATTTGATTGCTGTCATCACATTCTTCTTAACCTTTAATGATTCCATCCCCACAAAATGGAATACAATTTTCTAGAAATTCATCCAATGTCCAACCTTTATTAGACATTTATCGCCAATCTACTCTAAACAACCTTCATTCAAATTGTTAATCCTCATTTTTGGCTAAGTGTAAAATACTTCAAAATCTCTTATTTCACTATAAGATGTAGCTGATTGGGTTTTAATATTTAGTTATAAAAAAAGATCAAGATGATTACTTATAAATATTTCTACTGATTAATTAATAGAACTTATTGTTTATTTACCGCATTAATAGTCAACTATTATATTAATAGAAGATGATTTAAAAAACCGTATTAGTATATCTTAATGAGGAGGTAATTGAGTAGAGTATCTTATTTCCATAAATTTCAAAAAATTGCAGTTTCCGCATAAGAAGTAAGTTTAATAATTATATAATGAAACAAAAGTCCATCCATCAGAATTTGTGATCAATTTCTAATCGAATGAATATTAATGCAGCTTCCAAGATAAACTAAACTGTTGATAATTCCCTATACATCCAGCACATTCATATTAACATTTAGATACTTAATTAAAATTGATACAATCCTCCTTCATTGAATGCCATATAAATCCAAAGAGCTCTTCTGTTATGTTTTAAATTTAGGGAAACTACCCGTAAATGTTCACCGCCACAGTTATAAACTTCTAATATTGACTAATAACTCTAAAATGGTTTGTTTTCCAAATAAAAATCGAAATAATTACTAAACACTTTTGTAATTAAACATATCATTACCTAAGAAATGCTACATCCTAAAATATAAAAATCACTTATAGAAATTACCAGTTCTTATTTAAGATTTTGCCTCGAACCAATAAACCACAGTTTGATGAGTTATAAAGCTGAAAAAAATGAGTAATATCATTAACAATTAATTTTAAATATAATAGAATTCTATATAATAAAAGGAATTTAATATGCATAATATTTTTTATAGAATAAATTGGAATTTCTTTACAATATTTATCTGAATATATTTCACATGTGAATCTTCTAAACCAAATAACAACTTAGCTTTAAAGTGAAGGATCAACAGATGAAATACAAAGGCCAAAGTCTAAAAAATAGCTATTATCTTTGTATATACTAGAAAAATAAAAAAAAACCTAAATTCTATAGTGCAAGTTGATTTGGTTAAAAATTGTCTCTTTAAATTTGGTTTATCAATTATAAAAATTAATAAATAAAGTGTTTATCTCAATATTTTTTCTCCATATAAGCCAAGTATTAATTTAAAAAAATGCATTTTACATTGATGTTGAACATACAATTTAGTACTATATATTCGAATCGATACAACGCATAAGTATGATTTCTTGTTAAAATATATTTGGCAGTCAGTCAATATTATCTGGTAGTTAATTATAAGATTTTGAAGATAAATTGTGGAAGAAATCATAACAAGGGATGAAAAACCTATAATACATTCTTTGATAAAATTATTAATTTTAATAGTAAATAAATGGATCCATTAATTTGGAATTGTTATTAAATTTTTTAAAGAAATAATGAAGAATCAGTAAAAGGATAAAACTATGCTTCTTCTAAATTATATACGTGCGCCATTCATGCTTCTATCATAATGTATTTTCAATTTTCACCTAAAAGGTAGTAAATCTGTGTCTTTGATTATCATAAAAAAAATGAAATATAAAACATTAGTAAAAATTCTAACAACATTATTTCAGAATTTACAGACTAATTATTTAAACTTAGGATGCAGATTCAAAGCTAAATTATTAAAATAACCACTAAGGAGGAATAGAATTATAACTATGGACTTGCATTCCAAAAAACCTTACTATTCTGATTTTATCAATTGATTATTTTTGGATAAAATAATTAGAAGTTGATGTAGATGAAGTTTAAGAACATTAAGGTATTTATTCATGTATTAAAATTCTAGAAAATTGAAAATTCACAAAGATAATTAAGGATAACTAGTTCAACCATAATAGAAATAATAATAGAAACCTTAACTTTAATATCAAGAAAAATATCTTAAATGAATTCTTAGTATTTCACTATCCGATTCAAACAATTGCATTGTATTAATAATCTTCATATCATTTTAGATTGACAAGCGGAATGCTTATTGGTTAATTAGCAAACCTATAATTGCAGATATTCTAAGAGATAGATATGAACTTGAAAGAATTTGAAGCATTTTGGAATCATAATTATTGTTACATTTTTTATTTATGTTCTTATTATTTTTATAAAATCTAAAAAGTAGAATGAGCATTATGTATATAATATTTTTCTAGTAATTAATAATATAAATCAAATGGATAGTAATAAACTAATAAAAACTTAGTAAGAAAATTAATCATAAGGGAATGATGAATCCACAAGGCATTTGAGTGATATCTTAGCTATGAAATACACATAAATTTAATAAATTCCTTCTTAAACAATCAACTTTAGAAGTCTTAGATAAAGGTTTGGATTAATTTAAGATTATTATTCTTTGCCACTTAAATTTGAATAATTGTTATAAACCATGAAAACTATCGAATGGACTTATTGGAAGAAATAAAAGCCAATCGCTTATGAAATTAAAACTAAAGCTTTCAGGATCTTATAGATTGGATAATTATTGAAACTTGATTAAGAGCTTTATTAAATAAAAATTGTAGAAAAATCTATTTAAATTGTTCCTAAGGATATTCTAATTGAAAATTTACCTTCATTTCAACCATTCGCTTATTAGTTACCATCTGTCTTTGAAAGTAGAATAACAAAAGTCAGAAGTATTTTAGATTAATTAGTGCAAACTGTTCATGAAAATTACCTACACATAATTAACCAATAGAATTTTAAAGAAAAATCGCTGAAATCTAAAATTTATTACCCTACATTTGATTTAAACTTAGTCCCAGATATAAGTACCATTATAAATATATTCTGAAGACCAAAAAGTTTAGCTTCAACAAATTATCGAAAATACTATCTAATATTTTAATAAACGAACAGTCTCTTTTATGTTTTACCCAAACTTAATTAATTATTTGTTAAGTAAAATAGAGATGAAAAAAGATTAGATGGAAAAATACATTCAATTTTTGATGAAAGTTCAACCAGATTTTTTACAGATAACAAATTAAAAGAAAGAATAACTCAAATTAAAATGGATAATCTAATTAATAAATAAAGCACTGTAGAAAATTAAATTCAATAATTGGAAAACTTATTTATATTGATTTGATATATTTTATTTTTTTAAATATTGTTTAGATGAGTTTTATTAAGATTAAATTTATATATTTTAATATATTGATTATATTCAAATGATTAAATACAAAGTAACTTTGAAAAAAAAATATTTAACATTTCTATCAAAAAATAATGTAATAAATGAGCAAATGTGAAAGAAAATGCTTAAAGTGAAGTGATAGAAATTGTTTTAAATTCATATTTTGTGAAGCTTTGTAAATAATATAATAATTATATTTAAATATTGTAGATTAATGGTAAAGAAATAATCAAAAAAAAGCAAGTGAATTAATTTGATCATCAGAACAGATTAGCAAGCTGCTAAATATACTTTGAATTAAATCTCAGTAATGGAACATTTGAGTTAGTATAAAATACTAAAATAGCATAAACGAAAAATCTTGTAGATTTAAGGACCCATGCATTGAAAATATGATAGACCAATTAATATAAAAATTATTTACTTAATAAAATTTTATAATAAGAAATAGTTATAACTAATTATAAAGATAATATTAATGAAAAAATTACTTATAATCTAAAATTTATAAAAGAAAGGGGAGATTTATTTTTATTATTCTAAAGATATATTAAATACTCTTTAGATAATAATAAAAAGTAAAAATAGACTATTGAAAAACTTGAAAGAGTGTTTATATATTTATATTATTGACTATGTATTTATAAATGAATTATCTTGCATCAAATATTCAGTATTTTTATAATTTGAGTTTTCTTTCTATTCCAGATAAATAGATATTTTCCATCTTTTGTTAAAATAGAATGGAATTAATTTGTTCCGACGTCTGCTTCTGTCAATTCAGATAAATCAATTTAAATTAATTACCTTTACCTTAATTTTTAGTACTCCTAAAATTGCATTATTCTAATGCTATTTTTAGTTATAATAAATAAAGTAGAATTTTTATGCCAAAAGGCAAGAGATTAAAATTAATAGTTAGGAGCTCCAAAATTTATAGAATTTGTGCTTTCAAATTTTAAATTTTCTTTATTTAATGAATAAATTTATAAACGATCATAATCCTAAAATAGAAATTAAAAATTATTAACAAATCCTAAAAGTTCTCCATTGCCTTAACTTATTCTTTATTTCATAACCCATTAAATTTAGTTCTCAATAGACTTTTTATTAAAAATTACAATAGCAAGTGATCCACTATAGCCATTACTTGTATGAATTACTAAATGATTCTCTTCAGGATTTAAACATAAGTATTCAATTGAATCCCTATTGCTTAATGACTCTAGTTTATCAATACATTTCCATCCAATAATTTATTTTTCAAAAATGTGAATATCATTTCTATAACTTATAAATAGAAAATTTTCATTCTTATTCAAAAATAATTTGTAACACGCACCTAAGTCATGTTAAACTTTAAGCATAAATTTTCTGGAATTCAAACCGGAAAGGGATGATATGAGTATTTAGGAATTGGGTATTGCTATGAATGAATTTGAAAAAGTTAAATATTAAAGTTGAGAGAAATAGGCATATTTAAGGACTTAGAAACTTGTAATACTTTTTAAATCTTCATTCTTATAGAAATATGCTTAAATATATGATTTTTAAATTGTTAATACAATTGTAGAATCATTATTGAAGGAGATTTATTCCAAATTATTAAGTAAACTCTTTCCATTTAAGTTTAAAAACTCACAAACGATCTTATCATCTTAACAAAAATGCATGTTAAACTTAGTCAAGAAAAATTTTATGATAAATATATATTAATAATCTTATAAATACCAATAGAAGTATATATAAATATATAAGGATTAAAAATCAATTATTTAGATAAATTTTTAATTTTTATATATATATACATATATACATAAATTGAGCAAATAAAAATAATAAAATAGTATTTTGATATGTATAACCAGAATAATTAGTAAGTTTTTTATGTTGGTTGAAGACATAAATATTAAATTTCGTTCTTTAATCTAACATTCAGATAATGAATTCTATTTTAATAATAAAAAATTATCAAAACAAATTACATTTTCAAGAAACGATTTAGATTTAGTGCATTAAAATTTGATAAAATAATAAAATTTACATAAAAACATTAATTGGAAATATGCAATAAATTCTATTTAATTCTAATATCCTTATTAGATAAGTAAATAATACGATAGCAATTGTAAGAATAAAATTTAATGAAAACTCTATTCTTAAATTAGTTTTGAATAAATTATTATTAAGGAGAATTTAAAAATACCAAGAAATAAAGGTGGATGTTTGTTAATTACAAAAGCATTTTTTATTCCTAATCTTTGTTCAAAAATAAAGGTAGAAGAATTAAGTGAAACTAATGTATAATTTGCTTAACTAAAATTTTAAATTCTCTTATTTTTTAGAAAATTTTTAATTAGAGAAGTTTTTTCCTCAATCCTCTCTCTCATAAGAATAATAAAGAATATATTATAATTAATAAAATATAGTTATTTTCAACCTCATACTAATGTACTAATGGGTCATCACCTCAAACAATTCTTATAAATTCTAAGATTCTGTATTGAATTTTGATGTATATAATATAGCAAATTTAGTGCATGTTACTGGCCAGACTTCCTTTCCTGATCTAAATAAATGACACTGTTCTTTATTCTAGTTGTAACAATAAATCATCAATATCATCTTATAAATATCCAAACAAGCTCACCATTTTTTGTTCTATTATTTATACAAATTTTTTTTATAAATTCAATTATACATAGTCTCACTATCCTCTCGTAATTCTAAAATAGCTCTGTCTAATTTATCCACCATTAACACAGGTTTTACTTTATTTTTCATAACCATTCTCAAAATACTAATTCCTTCCACATAACCTAATACTATTAAGACTCCATCTGATATTCTTAACGAATTTAAATGGGCTAAGAATCTAAGTTAGGTAATACAATAAGAAGTTAGTAGTTTTTTTTGAATTTTCATTACTAATTTCTAACTTATAAAATTCAAATATTTAACATATTGAGTTTCAACAGATTTTAAAATCCTTTGGATTCAAATTTGAAAAAAATCATTCAATAAATACCAGATAATATTATTCAGAGGTATTTAAACATTTAAATAGGTGATCAACGAAAATGAAGTGATGCTGAATAATTTAAAGCCAAGAATCATAACTTAAGGAAAGAAAATTTAAGTGTGCAAAGAGATATGATAATTTCAATTTAATCAAATGATTTTGATATTCTATGTGTTATTTCTTTTTATTATTGTGTTTAATAATAATCATTTTCAATTATTCTCTGTGCTTATGTTATTTTACTCTTAATAATTACCTATCTTAATAACATCCTTCTATTTAATTATTACAATTTAATTCATACTTCTAAATCAATTTGTTTCTTGTCTACTTTATCTAATATTTCCGTAGCAGTACTCTCAAATAATTAATTTAAATTATAATCCGTTTTTTCAGATACTTCAATGTATTGCATTTTTTATTGATCAGCAAATGCTTTCACCTCTAGAGTAGATATTTTACCACTATAACAAATAATATGTAATGTGTACTCAGATTCTAAATCAACTTTATTGCCTACCAAAACTATTTAGCAATTTGAAGCAAATTTATCATTTACTTCATTATATTATTTTAATACATTTTGTAATGATTCCTCCTTTGTGATATCGAAAACAAAAAATACTCCATTTGATCTAATCTATATTATTTTTTTTTAAACTTTCGTATATAAGCTATGGTAATTGATATGAACCATTCTTATCCTTCTGCATCCCAAACAAATATTTTTATTGTTTTCTCATTCTTTACAATAACTTTCGCTCCAAAAATCAACTCCTATTGTTGAATCATGTTCATCTCGAAATGATTTCAATGTGAATCTCAATTAAATTCAAGACTTTCCTACATTTATATCTCCAACTAGAATAAATTTGAATAAATAGTGGTATTATTATTGCATCAAAGTGATTATTTTTATTTATTTTAAGCATTTCTAAATCATAGCATTTATATATTTATTTTATCACTTATGAATATAAAACTTGCAAACTGTAAAATATTCTTAAGGAAATAAAATAAAAAATAAAATATACTTCTAACATAAATAAAGATATCAAAAAATCATTTCCTTTACAAACAAATAATCTCTTGAATTCTTAAGTAGATTTTCCCCTTTTGTACTCTAATGATCAAATGAAGACATGAATTGATTGCAATTGAACAGCCATTTTACTTGAGTTAATGGTACATTGCAAAGATAAGCATAACATAACAATTAGCATAATCAATTAAGCATAGAAATGGTAAATTTCATGCATGCATTTATTTTATGTATAAGAAGTCTTCCAACTAGAACAAGTAGAATGATTAAAAAAGTAAGATTGGGTATTGCTAACCATAAATTGCAATTATTGTAATTAACATTGCCTGTCGTTATAATAGATTTGTCCAGGATAAGTTCAACATCTTAGGCTATCTACTGAGACAGCAAAATCTGATTGGCACGAATTACAATTAGAATGATTAAAATATAGTAATATACAAACATTAGAGAATTATTAACTTTGCAATAAGAATATCATTTATAAAGATTAGCCTAGATAATAACTGAGTTTTACTGTACATGTACTCAACCACAAGCTATAATAATTTAATTTGTAAATACTTATAAATAAGATCCTTAGTTAGTTCATTGATTTTCTTTTATACTTTCTTAGTTTGAACAATTTGTATGACTTAGCCAATAAAATTTGTATGCAGAAACTTTATATTAGATGTAGATCCTTCTTCAGCATACCCACGTTTTCAATTACATATTAATTAGTTAAGACTCATCATTATAACAAATTTTAGTTTGCGTACATTATAAGTGAATAACCGATCAGAACATGTAGATTAACTTATAGTGCTAATTTTCAAATTCTTAAATACAATAAACTTGTTTAATCGGATGTACAACATTCTGAGCAACTTGCATAATAAAAAATGCAAAATAAAATTAACTTTTTGAATGTGCTTTTGTAAAAAAGTTGTTGCAATATTTTTTTGCAACTTCATCAATATATGCTTTATAATTGTATGTTCATATTAAGAACACTTGTACATTTTACTTTCTTATCATAATGAATTTGCTCCATTACATAAAGGAAGATATGTATTAAATTAAGCAGTTGTAAAAAAAATTTCCTACTTCCATCACTAATACAGTTTATACTGAATATCATGTTCTGTAATTGTAACATCATTACATTAAATTCTTTTTCTGCATCCTCCTTCTAAAAAAAAGTAAAGTAGATATCAGTTCTTATAATTATTGGAGCATTACACATGACTGATTCCATAGATATATCATCAACCCATTCACATAACTAGTTAGAATAGCATTACATCTCATATTCTTGAATTTACAAATTGTATCCAATCACCTAATCCATCTCTTGGATTAATGTTAAATAAGAAAGTTATTTAATGAAACTGTTAATTTATTGCAGTCATTTGTATCAGCACAATATTAATCCAAAAAACAATATCTTCCTTTTGAATTTTTAAAATAGAGTTGAATATTTGTAACATTCAGAAAATTTGACACATTTTTCAGCATCTGTTTGAGACGAAACTATTTGACTACGTTCTTAAACAATAAAAAGGATAACTAGAAAAAGATGTAAATAAAGCACATTGATTTCTAACATAAGTATACCAACATTTATAAAATCCAAATATTAATACAACATGAAATTATTTAATACTAACATTATTATTAGTTACTTCAGTAATTGATTTGATTTAACATCTTAATTTCAAATACAGTTTTCATTTCATTAAAGGTGAACTTAAATTTAGAAAAATATTATTACTTAGTTAGAAGATCTCTAATAAAAAAAGTAAAATAAATTTAATGAATCAATAAATTTAAAGGTAAGGTGCTACCTATTAAGCAATTTAATAAAATACAAAACTATATTGCATTATTCAGGGATAAAAGCTTTTTTAATTTCAATACTAATTGACATCTGAAATATGAATAAAAAAAGAAGCAAATTTAGGCAATATTGAAAGATCTACAGCATTCAGCATTATAAGCCATTTTAAAAAATGTAATTTATCTAATAAAATACAAATCTCTGTATTGTCATGTAATATGCTGAAAAAGGCAATATTGAAGATATATTATTCGAATATAAACAGATTAATTAATACTTAAATCAAAAAAATAATTATTGATTAACTGACAATTATATTTGGAAATTCACTTACTACATGTGCATCATCGAGTTCATAATCATGAAATAACAACTTTTATGTAATTTTTTTGTTTAATATTTTTATTTTCCTTAAGTCAAAATTTGATCAGCCTTTAAATTAATTAAAACTATACAAAATTAAATTAATGAAGTACTAAAGCAATTAGAGAGAAACTAAAGAAACTAATTTAACTGAATTCACAATAATATTCAAGCAACTGATTATGCTAATAAATTGACAATTGCTATTTCAGTAGCTGGACTCTATCTTAAACTTTAATATTGTATTACTTTTCCTTTATTTAATCTATCCTTTTAACTCCATCTTATAAAAATCTTTAATCATCTTTATTCTTCTTTGTAATATTATTTAAATTGTAATTCAATCTATATTCGTCTAATTTCTTTAGATCCATAATAATATTCTTTTTCAATATTATTATTGTTCATTCAATTCAAATTTCTTAGCATTTATATTTCTAAGTATTTCAGCAGTTTCTAATTTCTTTTTTTCGTTCTCTTATTATAATTTTTATTGAACATCTTCATAAATACAATCTCTTTATCTTTATTCTTCTTCTCTATCATCCAATATTACATGAGATAATAAAAACTTATCTCTCTCACTTATCAATTATTAAGGTATTCTTCTATTTAATCCATTTTCTAACATTTTCTTTGAACTTATAACTTTCTATTCTGCCACTTCTCTTATTGCTGCAAATTCTAATTATATTCTTTCATATTCTTTTTCTTTTTTACCTCTATTATTTTTCCATCTCTATTTTCTTTTTAACTATTTTTTCAACGTCAAATTTTTTTGCTAATAAAAATTGCTTTTTCAATTTATCAATTTATAATCTTATTCAATTCTTCTCTTTAAAGCTATCAATTTATTTTTCTCTTCATATTCATCAAAAGTTGGGTTATTTATTAATTCCTCTAATTTTGCTGCTAATCTCTTCTATTCTTCTTCTATTTTTTACAATTTCCATTTAAATAACTTATTCTTAATATTTAGCCTCTTATTTCATTTGTACCATTATTTATTTAAATTCTAAGGCTTCATTAATTCATCATATAATTATTATTTAATATCCTTTTAAATTTCACTCTCTTATGATTGGACATTATTAATAATGTGTGTCTGCAAATCTCGATGGAGTCCTTTTTTTCGACATTATTAAATTACTTTATTCTATTTTTTATTATAATAAATATACTCAATAAATATATAATTTTACTTATTTAGCTGCCAATTTCTAAATTAATTAGGTAATTTTCATGCTAATAATTAATTAAAAATTAATAAATATAGTAGTCTAAAAGTTTTATATTATATAAAATAATAAAGAAATAAGGATCATTTTTTGAGTTATTAATTATACAATTCAAATATACATTATTACTTTATTTGTAATTAAACATGATATAACTAATGTTTTTAACTTTAGATCAATTTTTATTTGAATTGCCCTCTTTAACAGTATCACTTTCATTTTTAAGCTGTTATAATTTATTAATGGATTGCTAATTTATACTAATTATAAAGAATAATTTATTGAAAAATAATATTAATATTGTTAGACTAATTATTTAATATATTAAAATTATTTCAATTAATCAAATATTTTAGCAAAGTAATCTTTATAAAATCAATAGCCATATGGTCTCATTATATTCAACATAAATATAATCTAAGTGAATATACTAAAATATACTACAATAATTAGAAAATACTAGTCACTATTCTTAAGCAAATAATTATTTACGAATCTTAAACCAAAATTCTTAAGGCAATATTTGATTAACCAATAACATATTCAAGTTAGTTACTAAATTAAATTCAAAAATATTAAATTCTTAAACAAATTTTACATAATTTGAGTGTTATTATGGAATAGAAATTATATATGTTTAACTATTAAAATTCTTATAGTATATAATTGATTAATAATATATTATAGACACTTCTTAAATCTCAAAAATAAAATTAAAGCTGTTAAAATAATAATAACAAAAATTTTCAAATTTTTAGGTATCAATTAATCATATATCTTATAATTGTATAAATCTAAAAATAATTCCTCTAAAAGTGACTCCAATAAAACTCTAAAATGAATGTATTATTTAAAAATGTTCATAATAATAAAGTAATAAAATTACCTCATTATAAATGATATATTAATAATATTACTTTATAGAAAGTAAAGAATTTTAATAATTATTTATTAAATTGATTATTAAACTAATTGTATATATTAGATTGATAATTAGGATGGCAAAAATGAATTATAGAAATTAGCAAGGTTAATGGCTAAGAAATATAAGGATAGACCTAAAAGGAGTATTAGTGAAAAAAACTCAAGAAGTATACTTTAATATTTACATATTAGAGAANCTTTCATTTTTAAGCTGTTATAATTTATTAATGGATTGCTAATTTATACTAATTATAAAGAATAATTTATTGAAAAATAATATTAATATTGTTAGACTAATTATTTAATATATTAAAATTATTTCAATTAATCAAATATTTTAGCAAAGTAATCTTTATAAAATCAATAGCCATATGGTCTCATTATATTCAACATAAATATAATCTAAGTGAATATACTAAAATATACTACAATAATTAGAAAATACTAGTCACTATTCTTAAGCAAATAATTATTTACGAATCTTAAACCAAAATTCTTAAGGCAATATTTGATTAACCAATAACATATTCAAGTTAGTTACTAAATTAAATTCAAAAATATTAAATTCTTAAACAAATTTTACATAATTTGAGTGTTATTATGGAATAGAAATTATATATGTTTAACTATTAAAATTCTTATAGTATATAATTGATTAATAATATATTATAGACACTTCTTAAATCTCAAAAATAAAATTAAAGCTGTTAAAATAATAATAACAAAAATTTTCAAATTTTTAGGTATCAATTAATCATATATCTTATAATTGTATAAATCTAAAAATAATTCCTCTAAAAGTGACTCCAATAAAACTCTAAAATGAATGTATTATTTAAAAATGTTCATAATAATAAAGTAATAAAATTACCTCATTATAAATGATATATTAATAATATTACTTTATATATTAGATTGATAATTAGGATGGCAAAAATGAATTATAGAAATTAGCAAGGTTAATGGCTAAGAAATATAAGGATAGACCTAAAAGGAGTATTAGTGAAAAAAACTCAAGAAGTATACTTTAATATTTACATATTAGAGAACATAATTTGATTCAACTACACGTGAAATGTAAAAAATAAGCATAGCAATATCTTCCTAAATGATTATTCAAATTATTAATATAACATTATTTAATAATGTCTCATTATTATTTATGATTGTTTTTGTGATAAAAATAATATCATTTGTAGTTTTTAAGAAATTGCTTATTAAATTTTAACTCCTTTGGTATTATCAATTAAGGAGTAAATCTAATTTAATATCCTTTAAATTAACAAATTCGTTTTAAAATAAAAACTAAACAAAATTGATTATCTCCAATTTTTACTCTCATTGTTTGTAATGTCTTGATTTAAACAATCATTATTTTCAAAGATTTTCTACAAAAATTTTAATAATTACATAATTTCTAATTTATTTTCTTAAAGAAAATTATTTTAAAATCCAAAAATAAAAAAATCTTAGATTTGTAAAACTATATTTTATTTATATTAACTATTTTTATATATTAATCTTTCACTATAACCCCCAAAAAGAAGAATTGAACTTATTTCATTTAAAATCAAAAATATTAGTTAGGTTTGAACATTTATAAATTTAAAAATTGAATAAATGTATTGTCAAGTGACTCTATTCTTTATCATTTTCAATTTATATCATTATAATCAAATATATTATGATTGATAATTTTAGATAAATTTAATTAGAATAAAAACTGTATAAATTCTGTTAAAATGAATATTTAACTAAATGGTTAAAATATATTTCAAAATAAATGATAATCAATCATAAAGAGCCTTTCTAGAATAGAAATTTCCTTCTTATTTTTTAGAAGTGTGATAACACAAACACAATACACAAGTTACATTTAATATTATTATAAACTTACACTTACATCTACTGCTACAATATAGATACAAATATCTTTTGCAAATTCTGTTATTGCTGAATAACATGTATCCCTTTTTGTATATTAAATTTAATTACGTTGGAGATCCTGCATTTATATCTGAAAAAAATATAAATTGAATAAGGAGCACATCTGAACAAGAAAATTATTCTTCTACTGACTTTAAGTATTCAGATCCTTCATCATAATCTGTATTGTAATCAGCATATTATTAACATTATTATATTCTTATAGGCTACATAGTATAAAAATCTTACTAAGTCTGAATTTAAATTTGAATAAAATTGAAATGCTTAAGATGTGCTAGACGTCAAACTTTTGTGTGAAATAACATTGATAACCAGGAGCATTTTAGTATATTGTTTTACAAAGTATTGCCTCTGCTTCAGAATACACATTATTCAATGTTTCAGAAAAATAGTCTGATTAAAAACATCATTCATCTTGTAAAATGATATAAAGAAATTTCAACCTGAAATATATCTATCCAATGAGCTGATGATCCGATACTAAATCCAATAGTTGAAAGACCAAGAAATGATATTGCAAGTAAGAAATTTCCTATATTAAAGCAAAATAACAGTGTTCCAATTCCTTTCTATGCTCCTATTATTCCACAAATTTAAAAAAATATTAATATGCTACTAAATACATATAAGGCTATTAAGATTTCATCTGATGATTTAGCCTTAAGTTATAATGTACAAATACATTAGTAAAGTCATCTTAATAGTTTAAGTATTATCTCTAATCTACATTTAATATATTTAAGAATAAAAGGATTATCTATAAATAAGGAGAATTCTCTTTTTTTAATAGATTCACTTTTTGTAGTAAATATATAAAAATTTGGAAGAACACTAAAATCCAGTTTTCTGTATAGCTCCTCATTCAATTAACGAGAATTTAATATTTTCAAGTAGTGGGGATAGTATAATTAAAATTTGGTCACTTTCATCCAAAAAAAAACCATGTTAATAAACAATATCTGTTTCAATAGGAAATATTACTTAATTATTAATCAATTAAGAAGGAGACAAGCTTATAGTTTTAGATGAGAATAAAAAGATATTAATACTTTAATAATATGGAAATTTATGGATTGATAACTATCAAGTTAGTTAATTAGGAAATAAATAAAGTTTGCTACATAAATAATAATAGTTTTACTTTTTCTTCAAAATAAACGGTATTATTGTCTCATTTGGCATAAAATTTATAAACATATTGCAATGAAGAAGAAATACAAATTGTTATTTTTTCGATAATCTTTTAATAAATGAATGTATACATTTTTTCAAAGCAGACACATTCCCATTTTTTTATGATTATAATAGGTAGTTACTATTGGTTGTTGGCGTTTTTAATATTTATATAATTAAATTTGAAAATGGTGGTTCAGAAAAATTAATAATAGATGAAGTGATAAAATATAGAGATCCTCAATAAGGTTCAAGTTTCATATTTGCATTTATGAGTAAAGATAGAAAATATTTAATGATTTCTGATTTAAAATCATTTTAAGTTGATTTTTGGGAATTAATAGATCTTTATTGAAATCATTTACTAAATCAAATAGTGTAAAGTAATTATAAAAACATATTTGATCTAAATATTATAAATATTTATAAATTATTAATAAGTTCAAATTCAAATATATTATATAATCCAAAATATCTCTTATATCAATTTTGAATTATAATTATCCCATATTATTAAATATTTGTCATCTTAAAACATCTTTTCAAAAAATATAACTCTCTATTAAAAACTAAAATGAATACTTAAACTAATTAGCTATCTTAGCACATTCAGTAACTCGAGAAATTACACTTTTATAACTAAAATAATAATATATTCTTAATAATATTTTAAAGAATTACAAAATGTCAATTTAATAGTCGTATCAAAAAATCAAAATGTTAAAGGAAAGAAATTGAATAATGCATAGATGTAAGTTTATTAATATTTTTAGTCGTTGTTTATCCAAAAAAATTATTTAATAGTTGAAGTATTTATTTTAGATAATCCAATTTAAAAAATTAACAATTATAATTCAGAATTATCACTTTCAAAATTAAATGAATTGCCTTTAATGGATTTATCGGACTTTAAAATGATTGAAGAATTAACTCCATTAATCAATTATAAAAATAAACATTAATTATAAATTAAATAATAATCAGATTAAGAACAATCCTAATCATTAATAAACTCTTAATTATTAGATTTATAAGAAAAAGACCAAATAGTTGAATCTCAATTTTAATCAAATTAAACCCATTTAATTTTTAAATTATTTTAGATAATTCGATTAAATAATAGAATTATTGTCTTGCTTTTGCTTTTAATAAAGATTGCTCATTTGTTAGATAAATAATTATATATCAATTCAAATTCAAAATTTAATAATAAATTCAGTTATTAGATTACCATAAAGGCACTGTGACTACATTAAATTTTATGAAAAAATCTAATTAATTAGTATCTAGATAAAACTATTTTAATTTGGTCAATTAATAATAATAATTAATTGGTTTGCTCATAAATAATTTAAGGTATAATAATTAGATTAATTGCTTAATTGTCATTAATACTAATGAAGATCTCTTTATATCAGGTAGTTGAGATAATAAGTTTTGGTTAAGAAAAATGAATGGATGTGTTCATTAACAATCACAGATTATCAAGATAGTGTTTATTAATTAAGTTTAAATGAATAAGAAAATTATATTCTTGTGGATATGATTAATTTATATATTTCGAATAAAATAAAAATTTGGAGCGTAAGTTAAAAAATTAATGTTGATTGTTCCTGATATCGATTATGCTTTCTCGATAATAATCTATTTGCATTTAAACCTAAAAATAGCAATTTGATGTATGTGTATGAGATGAATATTGTATAAATAATAAATCAAGGTAATGATTCTTATTCTGCAATTAATAACTAAAATATAATTAAAATAATTACATAAGCATTCTTAGATCTGAGTGTATCTTCTATTTATACACTTGATAAATGATAATTATATTGAAATACCAAACATCATCCGGAGTAAATTATAATAAGGT